CTTGAGATAAGGACCGGGAGAAAACACTCCAAGGGCAAAAAAGGCTTGGCTTAGAGGTACGAAGTGAATTTATTACAAACTAAATCAGAGGATAATAGGAGATACAATAAGAGAGGAGAGGAGTCCTTCCTCTGTGAGACCATGGGGTCCCTCCCACGGGAGACAGTTCTTTGTGAACTTCTCCAGCATGGCTCCAACATGAGCAGCAGCGCTGCCAAAACTGCTGCAACGTGGGTCTCTTTCTTTCCATGGGGTGCAGTCCTCCAAGGACAGGTTGCTCCAACTGGAAGTAGGGACCTCCTCTCTCTACCTGGTATCCCACAGGATCACAGCCTCCTCCAGGCATCCACTCACTCCAGCACGAGCACCTCCCCCATGGGCTGTGGGTGGATCTCTGCATCCCCCGTGGATCCCCATGGGCTGTGGGTGGATCTCTGCATCACCTGTGGATCCCCATGGACTGTGGGTGCATCTCTGCATCACCTGTGGATCCCCATGAGCTGAGGGTGGATATCTGTATCCCCTGTGGACCCCCAGGAGCTGCAGGGGCACAACTGCTTCACCATGATCTCACCACGGCCTGCAGAGGAATCTTGGCTCTGATGCCTAGAGCACCTCCTGCCCCTCCTTCTCACTGACCTTGGTGTCTCCATGTTGTTTCCCTCACATGTTCTCACCTCCTCCTTTTCTCTGGTTAGAAAAAAACTGTGCACTTTGTTTTGATTTTCTTCTTAAATATGTTATCACAGAGGTGTTACCAACTTCTCTCAGCTTTGGCCAGCAGCATGTACATCTTCAAAGCCATCAGAGAATGGCTCTGCTGGACATGGTGAAAGCTTCTGGCAGCTTCTCACAGGAACCACCTCTGTGGCCCCCTTGCTATCAAAAAACAGGCCATGCAAAACTCATGGGAACTTATGAGAAGAGCCTGGTTCCTTCTTTGTTACATCCTGTAAGGCATTAGTCAAGTAACAGGTGAAACATGGCTGCATTTCCAAATAACTGTTTTCAAGAAGCCTTGTTCTGTTTCAAAATTTGCAACTTAAGGTCCACAAACTCCTCTTTGAAAAGTCACAGGAACTTTGAAAACTAAAAAAAGAAGTACTTACTGAAAACTGATAGAGCAAGTCTCAACACAAAGATCTTGTGAGCATGGACTGCTTGTCACTTAGTGATTCCACATTTGTCAAAATGCAGCACATTATCATGCTTTGTTTATCCTACAATGAAAAACAGGGGGTTTGTGTTCCAGTACCAATCTTAGATTCATAAAATAATCCCTGGCACCTCTGTGGTAGATGGAATTCATGAAAAGCAGAAATGGTAGACATAGGTTACATTAACAAAGCCAAGAAAATTTACAGTGTTGGTGCACTGTTAGTATACAAGACAAGGATATATAAACCCCTACTGCTTTCTAGCTGCAATGCAAATGCATCCATATTTTAAAGGTTTTATTTTGTCAACAAAAGCAGGCACAAGAAACCCACTTTTGCAACAGATGTGATACTTGGTCTCATTTTCTTCCTAGGCAACATAGATGAATAGGATTTTTTGCAGAACAAAAATCCATAATTAGAGTTAGTCTAACACCGATTTTAAATTCTGCTGCTTATTACTAGCAATAACTGCAAGAGACCTCATCTTCAACAAATACCTGAAAGGCCTACTCAGAGTGGACCATTTTACAAGGTACAGATACATTAATATGGTAATCAGTCAGGCAGAAAGATACAAACTCCCTGCTGAGCCAGATAGGAATGAAAGATGGCTTCAAAAAAGACCAAATTTCTTCAGTATGCCAGAGGAAAATAACTGGTTTTTTTCAAAAAAAACTTTTTTAATGACCATTTGTTAAAGGTCAATCCACTTGAAGTCAATAGGTCGGGCATTGTGATGCAGTGAAACCTTTCTACCATTCTGTCTGCATCAATTCACTATTTGCTCTCACTGTTTACACCTGGCACTGCAAAACCAAGAGCACTTCTTTAGCTAATGCGTTCTCTTGTGTAACTCCAATGTCTCTTACTAAACAGGATCTTGCAGCAGGTAGTATATACCACAAAGAGTGTCTACACAATTTGGGAACCCTTTCTTCATTTTCCTGTATTTTTGGCCAATCTTTGTAGCTTGTAGTACCACTAACTGCTTGGGTTTGTTTTTTTTTTTTTTTTTCCCTATGAATTGATCTAAAAAACAAACAACAGCATATTAAGAGGAAACATTTCTTAAGCTCATAAGTAAATAAAACATTGCCTAATATACTTCTGAAGTAAGAAAATAAGATGAACATGCAAGGCACAAAAACTACGCTTAAAAACAAAAGGTATGAAGAAAGCAAGGCACACATATCTCTCTTGAAACCTTGCATGGCATATGCAGCAGTCAGATTTTAAGTTTATAAAAGCATGAAAATATAATCTTTGTTCAAAAGATGAACTTCATACTGAAGATGAACTTCATACTTTTCTATATAGGCTGACAGCATGCAGGTAATTTGTTTACTCTGCATGTGCCATACAGTTGGGCAGGGGCCATTCTTTACTAAGGTTGAATGTAGCAGAAAAGACAGATCATGACCACAAATGGAATTTATCAATACAATTTAATTATAGTTACACAGTTTGAGACCAGAATTACACGGGTTTAAAGTAAAACATTTGTGTTTTACATCTTACATTACACCTTTGCTGATACCCAGTTTTACACATTGTCCTGTTTTTACTCCCTGCCCTTATATGACAGTTGAAGTAAAAGAAATCATTACAAGCAGAGTTTCCAAGTAGCTTTTCAGCTTTTGGTGGACAATTCAAACTCCCTAAGTCCATCATAGATGGATAGCAAGCTCAGTACAATGTAGGTATCTACAGCACCTTCACTGACTTTCCTAGGACCAGAAGTCTTTTAAAACAGCATCTACCAGTTCAAATGAGCCCACTTATTTCACCACTTATTTTAGGTGACTGTGTAAATATCTTCTGAACTTCCTTTGTGATGTGTTTTCTTAAAAAAAAAAAAAAGCAAAAATTCAAAATATCTTTGTACAAAATAAAGGCTTTATGTGACCTGAGGTTTCCCCTCAAATTTAACAAAAGGATCAATGAGACTAACAGGCTATTTCAAGATTCCCTTTTAGCCATAACTTTGAGATCAGTTCCTATTAATTTCCCCAGTTGGTAGAGTATAGAGAAAATGAAGCTGTAAAATTATTTCATTGTATCTGTTGGCAATGCAGTGTGGTTGAATTATTTTCTGCAATTCCTACTTTTTTTGTGGGCCAAATTCTAACGTTGTGACCTCACATTCAAGTGACCTTGAACTGAGGAGGTCTCTAAGTTCTGAAAGCAGGTGATAGAGAGGAGAACTGGGAATAAATGAGGGAATGAGCACATTTAATACCAGAAGAGGATGTAGATAAGAAAAGGGAGGTGCAAATATTTCTACATTTCCAAAAATACTCATTGCCCCACAGACTGCCACAGACCCTGACTGAAGACAGATCTTTACTCTTTTCTCTCTCGGGATTTCAGGTAATTGGATATTTGTATCAAAATAACTAGCTTTCATTTGAAAGTCTTAAAAATTCACTTAAATTCTTTGGAACTGAGTGGTTAAATGATGGCATGAAAGTAATTCAGGGGAAGGGAGTGTTTATCTTTTACAATGAAGTGTAGCCCTTCAGAAAATCTTGTGTTGAGGCACAGTGGACAGAATGCAAACCAGGGTTGGGCAAAACCTACAGAGACTGGGAGGGTAGAAAGTTTCCTGACCTGTAGGAAGGGTGCCTTAATCACCAGGGAGTATCAGCATCTCCAGGAACAGCAGTAGGATATGTGATTTGAAGGACCTAAAAATGCTTAGGTGTGAGCTAGGCTACATGGCATTCACCTCTGAAGCACTCCTGGGAATGCTTCAAAGCTGCTGCAGAGCTCTAAGAAGCTTTAAAAACAGAACTTGAGGACCTCAGAGGCTCCACTTTGACACTTCATGGGAGCAGCCCCCTTTGAGGACTGCAGTTTTTTATTTAGTCACACAAATTTAAATGCCCAGTTGCTGTTGTGGATCTAATGTTTACATTTCCCTTGATGCCATATGACACTGACTTTACCAAATGTTTTATTAGCCTTTATTCTGATGAAGACAATGGAAATGTTGGAGCTTGTCCTAATACTTATTAAGGTATTACATGGACCAAAATTATTTGTTCTGGTTCCATGTATTAATTTAATCATGGGGTTGTGGTTATTTGTTTTCTTTGGTTTTGTCCTGTAAAAACATACTTAGGAAAAGAAGCAGAACACAGATGGAAAATGTGGAGTATAAACCAGCAGGAAACCAGAGAAAATTTGTTGTTGGTTAAAAGAGGAACTATTTGGGGTTGTATGTAAGATAAAAGAATTTTCTTGAAAAACAGAAATTAGCTTCCAAATATGGGTTTACCTATACCAAGAACATGTATCTCCCTGTATCTGTATGTGTATCTGTATCTCTCTAGTAGTCTTCAGGATATATTTGTAGTGAATTGCCCAAATTACACTTTTTTTCCCAGCAGAAAATAACAGTAGAGGAAGTTTAAACAAATAGGAAAAAAGCCCAAGTAGCATGGTGAGAAATGATTCAGTTTCACTCTTTCAGAATTAAATAATAACTCTATGAAAATAAGGAAAAGAGCAAATAATTTTTTGAAACAAGTCTAAACTCTGAAAACATTTCTAGCTAAAATTGTACTCAACTGATGAAAAACAAGGAAACCTGGCAAGGACACTGAAAGTGATGAGGAGGGAAAAAAAAATGCAGGTCTTAGAAAGAAACATACTAGCTGACTGTACTTGGTCTTTGTGCGGTATTTTACCCAGGGTAAAATACTTTTTTACCCAGAGGTATCTTCAGACTGTTTTTGAGAGGTGCAAGCAATCTCCCACTGGCAGCTTGCATTTTTTAAAAGAAGCAAAGGGGCAGTCATCACCTCTCTCTGACACTCGTTTGTCTCAGGTGTACCAATGGAATCTCTCTCAGTGTCAACCAACAGCTTCACTCTGGACCTTTACAAAAAGCTGAATGAAACTTCCAAAGGCCAAAACATTTTCTTTTCTCCTTGGAGTATTGCAACTGCTCTTGCCATGGTCCACCTGGGTGCAAAAGGTGACACTGCAAACCAGATGGCTGAGGTAAGTTCTGAAATGAGCCAGGTCCCACCTTCAGAGGATTCCTACATACATTGCACTGTTATTCTACCTATGGAGAACAGCAAGGAACAACATGGGAGGACAATGATCTGCAATACTGACAGCATGAGTAGGGCTCTTTTCTGTACCAACACTATGGCAGGTCACTTCCACTTTATTTCCAAGATCTCTGCTCTCCACCAACCCTATATTTAGCTTACACTTACAGTTCAGAGCATTGCAAGTGGTCTATCAATGAGAAATTATTGACATTAGAGGCTACTCTTGGTCTTTCTTGGAGATTCCATTTTAACTGCCCTCTGGACAGAATAATTAACCTAATATAATGCCAAAAAAGTAATGAAGACACACCTTTATTAAAAAAATTAATATGGCACTACGACATGCTAGAGGAAGGAAATCTGAAGATAATCTCTTGAGCAAGATATCACTGCTTCTAGACCTCAGCTAGTTCTGGCAGCAGTATATCTGCTTTCTCATACTACATACAGAAGTTAGCAAACTCTCCTGAACATATGTTTGGCTGCATGGGAGAGGCATAAATCTCAGTTTGTGACATAGTTAGCCCATAAAAATGGTAATTCCTCCTTGAATACTGGAGATATGTGAGTATTGAAAACATCAGAATTGTAAACATGATGAGTTGTAACAGACCTATGAGGATCACTGAGGCCAGCTCCTAGCCCTGCACAGGACACAAGAGTAACACCGTGTGCCTGAGAGCATTGTCCAAACACTTCTTGAACTCTGGCAGGTTTGGCGCTGTGGCCACCTCCCTGGGGAGCCTGTTCCAGTCACAATATTGATTTATTATTAAGAAGTCCATGTGGCCAAAATCTATATAGTAATGATACAGTTACAGAGATGTAATCAATGTCCTCAATAACATATAATTGTCCTCAATAACTTCAACAGACTATCATTGGGCATGGCTGGTGGATTACCATACAAAACGAAGATATTTATAACCCCTGGGAATAATAATCTCAAACAAACAAGCTGTCTTTATTTATCATCATCATCACAGGTTCTTCATTTTAACCAGACTGCAAGAGAAGAAGGTTCATCTGAGACAAGAAGGCCTTCTCCAGCAAGACCAAAGAAAAGAAAGACGGTATTTATTACAACAAAAGACCCTGAGATAAAAATCTCTAAGAATGGGGTAATCCAGTGCAACCACTGCTTTAGGCTTTTAACATCTGCTTGTTTTCAGTCTATTATCTACTGTCTTGGTTCAGTAAGAACTATATAAAGAAAAAGTGAAAGAACAGTTAATATGACTGTAAAACTCATGAATTCAGTCTTTCAAAAGCAGAACTGAGACACTAACAGCATTTTGATTGGCCATAGTACTATCTCACTGGTTTTAGCTGTGCTGTGAAAATATCAAAAAATCATTGGTCCTAATGTGCTTTGGAAAATTCCATTTCTTATCACCTTCAGGTTGGTTGGGGTATATGTTCTGTAGTGATAAACAACTACTGCATTCACACCTGACTCCAGCCCTACCCAATTAAGTCCCTTCCTCCTTTTGTATGCGCAGACACATCAGGCAGACAAAATTCCCCTTAAAGGTAATGTGTGTTGATTCACCCTTGCTCATCAGCTCCCCAGAGACTTGCCAGCAGGAGAAATGGCCCAGATATTTTTCAACAAATTAACTCACAAATCATTGAAAAGTATTACACTCAAACAAAACATGTTTCTTTTCAGCACAGAAACTAAGAGACAACTGAAAGAAATTAAATTAGACTAACTTCAAATAAGAAGGGCAAGGAGATTATGTAATTCTGTCCCTTGATGGTGTGAGATGGTTTTTCAAGATGATCACTGCACTCACATTCATTTCAGCAACTCACTGACTTCATAAATTGTAATGAAGTCTGTCTAATCTTTCCCTTCAGATATTTCCCCCTATTGCCTCTGTGTTCTGTTCCCATCTCATTAAAAACAAATAAACAAACAAACAAACAAATAAAAACAAAAAACAAAAACAAAACAAAACAAAAAAACCCCAAAACAACCAGCCTCTGGTATCCCATGTCCTCTGGCTACCAAATTCTTTCCTAGGTGTCCTTCCTGGCAGCCTACGTCTCAGCATGAGTGAGAAAAGATCATAGCAAGGAATGACAGACGAGTCACCCTGAGTCAGTGGCAGAGACTCTTGGTGTCTCATGTGCAGGGCACAGTACATGACATGGGGGAGAACACTGCATCCAGGCAGCTGGTGGGGAGCAGCTGACATGTAGCAGCTCCTTCCCCATTTGCAAATCAACAGCTGGAAACAGCTGGTAAGCAACCTCATCCTCCCTAAGACCATCAACACTGACATCCAGAACAAGCCCTCTCCCAAATCCAAACAGCAACAGAAAACACCCATGTGAAGCAGGAAAATTTGAATAGTTGGTAAGTCTGTGCCCTGACATTCATTTCTGTGAGGGTAGAACACATCTCAAAAACTGCCAGGCTGCATTAATGGATCCTTGAGAAACTGAAAACTAGCCTTGAAAATGACAAAAACGAGGAAACTCAGCTTCCTTGGTGCACCATCAGATGATGACCCCAAATGCCCACAAAGCACTGCAGAAATAAATCATTGCCCTACAGGTAGAATCCCACTTATATAGTTATACACAGTGCTGCAAACATGAACATTCTCAAAAAAGTTTCATTCCCTGAAGCTCCTTTTTAATTAAAACAACATGAACATTTTAAATAAAGCAGGTGCATCAGACAAAAAAAAAAAAAATCCTATTAATTGGTGTCTCTTTCCAAGGATCCTGAGCATGAGGGAGCAGAAAACATCCACTCTGGCTTCAAAAAGCTCCTGTGTGATATCAACAAACGAAGAAGCACTTACTTGCTGAAGAGTGCCAACCGACTGTATGAGGAAAAGACCTACCCATTACTGCCTGTGAGTTGAACATCTTTATGTGAGAATATGCTGACATTAAGAGTGATTATCAATAGAGAAAATAAAAAATTTGAAAGGATAGCACTGGGGTTTAAGTGAGAACACAAGGACAACCATAAGAGAGCTAGTCTTGGAGAGGCAAGAGCACTCTGTTTTTAGCAGTGGGCAATAGTTTGGCAAGTGCATGAGAAAACTCTGTAGTGATTCTCCTCTAGAATCTGCTGTGGCCACCGACTGATCTGCAGCTCAGGTACACATTGAACCAGAGGGCATATCTACTTAAGTGACCATGATGAGCTGTTGTTTCAGGACTTTGCACACTTGTCTTTTGAATCTATGTCAGCCCTCAGCACAGCTGAGCTATTCACTGCAGGAAGCACCTCTGCTTTCTGAGCTTGCTGCCTGTTGGCATTGCTGTTGGTTCATTTCTGTTCTGAAGGACATTGCTCCACATCTCTGGTCACCCTCATCCCCTGTGTCTGTATTTTTTATACTTGTAGCATTTCTGAGACCGGGGAGGACACAGCTGCATTGCAAACTCAGACATTGGACATACTATAGCATTATAAAGTGCCATTATGGAAATTTCTCTTTTGTTGCCTACTCTTTTCTTCATAGTTCCTATATTTTCATTTGCAGTTTTGGCCATGATTAGGCAGGTTTTTTTCATGCACCTGTCCATTATAGCTTAGCTTCAATACCTCATTCCTAAACCATAACAATCACTTCCTATATCTTACACTTTACTGGATCACTGATAAATATGTTAATATATATATTTAATGTAAACATCTAGACTTTGATTTTATAGAAAAAAAACTGTAGCACAGATGCCAGTACACATATCCTTGTGGTACTCCAGCAGAAATAACCCTTCATTGTGAATGTTTTTTCCTCCTACTCTTGGTTTCTAGTCTTTTAGATGGAGGTATCTCTGTAGTCCCATGGATGCTCAGCCTTTGGTAACAAGTCCTACAAAATGCATTTTGGTAATCCAAAAGGACTGTAATGGCTCAGTATTTTTATCCATATGCCACCTAACGCCTTCAGGAAACTCCAACAGATTTGTGATTTTTGATTTCCTATTACAAAATGTTGACACTTCTCCAATAAGTCACGTTAACCCATACACTCACTACGCCCATTCTATTCATTTGCCCCACACCGACTAATGAGTTTGTAATTATCTGTATCTCTGAAATCTTTTCAGAACTGATGTTGTATTAATCATCTTCCAGGTCCTTGGAAGGGAGTTTTAAATGAGATTACTGTTCTTTGATTTTGGAGTTTGTTTGGTTTCCTGAGTAATCAGCAATTTGTCCTTCTGGATGTATATTACTCATTTTCTCCATAATCTCATGTATATTTGCTATACAGAGAATCGAGGGAATTTCCTGTTGGGAATCTCCATGAATGATTTCACAGCAGACAGCAATGGAAATGTTAATTCTGCTTTTCTGCCATGACTTTATTCTACCAGAACCTTTTATTGTCCTCACAAAATTTTGCAGGTTCCTCACCTCTGAAGCAAACTAAAAGCCTTTGTTCAACTTTATATGAGATTATTCTTCCATCTTGTACTGAACATTACTTCATAAAAAAAAAAGTATTTAAATTATATAAAAATGTCATTTTGAGAAATTTTTAAAATTGTAAAGGTTTCATGGATATTTCAAAACTAAAAATTTTCCACCTTTGATTTCAAACTCTAAATTTTGAAGTATCAATTTCCTTGAGACTGAAGTTTGATCTGTTCTTACTTAATATTTAGAATAGAATGTATAAGGCCTTGTTATAAAGGTTACCGCATATAAACCAAGTTTTCTTAAATTATGTATTAGCAGATTGTATAATCTGTTGAACTGATTACTACTAATATTTTTATAATGCAAGTTTAACTAAATAAGCACACATTCTTTAATCCTATTTTTCAGAAGTACTTACAACTCATTACAAGCTATTACAATGCAAAGCCACAAGCTGTAAACTTTAAGAGAGCTGCAGAACAAGTCAGAGCACAGATCAATGCATGGGTAGAAAATAAAACTGAGAGTAAGTATCACTCTGATGGCTTTTTTCTTGTCTAACTTTCAAATATTTTGTATTTCCACATTTACTGCTCTCACAGCCAATAATTCATAAAAGATGTAAACTCAGGGCAGAGAGGTGATGAGTAAAGTACAGCTAAATAGTCTGAAGAATGCCTCTCTCCAGCCTGACTGCTGCTCCTGACAAGGTCCTTCCCTGAATTCTTTATACTGTAGCCTCCTCTGAATCATTGCTGTTTGAAGGCTTGCACAGATAGATACTCTGTGGCTACACAATGATAAGCGAAGGTTTTACTTCTGCCTTCTCTAGCTGCTTGCAACCAACTTCACACAACATCCAAGCTATTCTGCTTTACCCACTTCCCAATGCCATTTACTACCAAAACTCCAATAAATATAATT